TAATTGTATTTTCAAGCTGCTTCTTTACTCACTCCCTCTCTCTCACTGTTTTAGCTCTTTTCAATCATGCTTTCTTTTCATCTCTTTTTTCTTTCACCTTCTTGTTTTTTCTCTGCTGTTTTCAGATCTGTCTTCAGTAAAGCCAGAGAAAGGAGATTTATATCTTCAAGCAGAGTGATCTGTAAAGCCATGACCCTGCTTACAGAATGCCTTGTCTTTCATTATCCTAAGGTTCAGAAGAACGGTGCTATCAACATGCAAAGAAAGAGGCTTTTCTAATATAATCTTGGACAGTTTCAGAGGCAGCCTTGAAAATAAACATAAAGACCTAGAATTGATGTAGAAAGTAGTGGGGGAAGGCTGAAGCCTTCTGTGGCTCTTTACATTATTTGTTTAAAGGCAGAGAAAGCAACTATCCTTGTCCATATCATACAAACATTCTTATAAGCAGAAAGAATCCATTTCAGAGGCTCTGTAATTACCACTAGGGTCTGGAGAAAGGAAGTTTTGCAGAGGCGAGCTGGAGCTAGAAGCTAGCACTGCAGGCAAGCCCAGGAGAATGAATACAGAGCTGCCAGCACCCTCCATATGACAAACAAACCTGAACCTCTGCTGAGGACTGTCCTAGATTTCAGTGACAAATAGGTGCACAGGAGCATTTCTTCATGGGCTACTTTACTATCTTGTTTGAATGTGGGAGGTTCAACATCAATCAATAGCTTGGAAGATCTGATTGCTCCAGAGATGGCATTGAGAGGACTGGCTGAACAACAGTATGACACAGAATGGAGTGGAACTTCACCTCTTCTTCAAAGTGTTAAGATTTCCTATCATCTTCAGCCTAAGCTGCTCCTGGGCATCCCTTGTCATCCATCCCAGCAACAGCAGACATGTGTCTCAAATACAAGTGGTGGCTGATGCTTTACAACAGATCGAAGAGTTCTTATGATATCAAAATGCCCTAAATTGGAACATAGGGGATGTTGCATAGCATCTTAGGTCAGAGTGTACTTTCTCATTGAGTTGATGGTGGTGAGCTTCTGCAAGCAATGCCCAAGAGACTTCCCTGTACTCTGCAGCACTAGTCACTCTAGGGGCATAAAAGCACTCTTGCTTAACAAAAAAGAGTGATTCAGATGTTGCAACTGCAGAATTTTTCAAGCATAGCATGCTGTAACTGCATGGAGTGGAAAGATGAGCTTCATCACACCTGTCTTTCACCACCCAGGCAGGCATACCGTCAGGCAACAAGCCAAAAGCAGCTTCTGATCTGTATATGCAAGTAATTAGAAATATTTTGTGTGTGAAGTGCTTTTCCCCCCTCTGTTTTCTACAATACCTAAACCACTGTATAAACTAAAGCTAGAAAAACTGTATCTGATCCCATTTAAACTGTTCCTTTACAGACAGTATTGAGTGGCTTCTTCCAGTCCCCAAGCACTTTTTTCCTAGAAGTTTTGTTGTGTCCCTCAGGTTTTTCTTGCATTTGGTGTGATAGAGATTGCTCATATCCACTTTCAGCAATTTAGACTTTTTTCTGTATTGGTATGTATATGATTTCTTATAATTTTTCTCAAAACACTTAACAGGTAAGTTTGCCCATGTCTGCATTTGGCTACACATTACATTTATCTCCATAAACAAATTTCATATGCTGACAAACCACCACTGTGTTGATTTGGCCAGAAGTAGATTCAAATGTGCTACTGACCTTATGCAATAGTTAAAGCTCTTTCTTGGAAATAGCCATAGGTGCCTATCTTCTCCTGCAAAAAGGAGCTATTGAGTTGAAAACTGTCTTTTTAAGGATCTCAGAAAACCTCTCCTTCCTGACCTGAAACTGCCCTAAAATTCAGTTGGTTTACTTGTTTGTGAAAAACACCTCCTGCCATGCTGGCCAAAACCAATTAATTTCCTGCTGGTCCTCCCCTGTCTGTCTCTGCTCTCTGTTGGTCTCTTGTTTTATTATTAGACTGTGAACACTTTGGGGCAGAGAGCCTTTTTTTAGTATTGTGATATATAGTGATCTTGGACCATGGGTAGGACTCCAAGGTGCTACTGGAAAAAAAAGTGACCACAAAACTCAAGTGCTCTACATCTTCATTTGGCAATTTGTAATTCTGAGATTGGCACTTCAACAAACACTCAACAGAGAAGGAAGGAGACTGGGCTCTGAAATCATAAGTTTTACTATTAAATGTTAGTATGATTAGTTATTCCTTTGAAATCAGTGATGTATCTAATGTCAGAGAGAGAATATGTCAGGTCCTATACCCTTAGGCTTTAAAAACCTAACCATGATTATATAACGTGAGATTTGAAATCCTGAGTACATGTAGTTTGTTGAGTGTCAACTGCGGATCAGGAAACAAGGGTAAACTGCAGCATCTGAGGGAGGCACGTACCTCAGGCAGATAAAAGGCAGGAGAAAAAAAAATTTAAGACATTAAACTGGGAGAAGGAAAATGCAGAATGCTCATGAACAAGCATTCCCTTCCTGTGCAGTGCGTGAAATTGCAGAATACTCTGAAACCTTACAGGGCTTAATAAGAAATATCACCAGTTTCAGTTCTGGGCCCCAGAACTGGAAAGAGCTCACTTTACTTGCCTGTTGATTGAATGTATTTATTTACTGCACAAAGAGAATCACCCAACAGTGACCCTGCAAGGAACACACTTCATAGATTTTAAGCATGTCCCTACCTCTAAATGTGGGGGCGGCGGCGGGGGTGGGGGGTTAGTATGTGGTGAAGCGTGCAAGTACAAACAGAAAGAAAATTTTGTACAGAATCACTGCCCGGACTGTTTGATTTTTGAAACGCCTCCATGAGTGGGAGCTTCCAAGGAACGAGGTAGGTCTGTGCCTGCAAAAGAAGCCCCGAGCAGCAGCGCAGCTCCCACGGGGCACACAGTCCTGCACAGCCACCAGCCCGGCCGGGCACGGCCAGCAGGCTGTGTGCTCGCTCCGAGCTCGCCCCAGCTGCTGCTCCTTGTTCCTTTGACGTGTGTGTGTGTGTGTGTGTTACATGACTATAGAAGGAGCAATCAGTCAGCTCCCAGGAATCTTAGCAACAGCCGCGTCCCCAGAAAAGGCTTGTAGCAGCTGGAGCGGTGATGACTCAGCAGCATGGTCTCTCTGGCCTCTTGCTGATCCCTGGCAAGGACTGCAGGCCAAGTTCTGGCTCCCTTGTTTGGGTCAGCGCTTAGTGCTTTCGTGCTGGCACCAGTAGATGAATTCCTGGATCCTGCTGGCCTTGGCATTCGAAAGCAACCAAAAATTAGCTGATAGCTGCAGCCAAGAAAGTTTTTTGTTCTCTTCTTTCTTTAACGACAAATTAAAAAAAAAAAAATCAAAACAGAAGAAAACTGAACAAAACCCGCAGAATCCTGTTAGTACACTGTAAATTTCATCTGCGGCAGATGTGTAGGGGAAGACAGTCACATGCCAGGAGACCCACGTCCCTTTGCTCCCTTGGGGAATTAAACATATGGGTGGGTTGGGGCTGGGCTGGAGACTATACAAAACATCACTGGAAGGTTTGTTTATTTTCTGTACCGAGAGTTTGAGGCTGTGGTGTTGAGTAATTCTGTCGACATTTCACCTAGTTCAAGTCACTAGTGCAATGAATCTATTTGGCCTCTAGTTGTTTTCCACTCCGAGGATGTTAATGTCACAGCCTCCGTCCACCCTCCTGCAGTAATTCTATAGACGACCGAGAAGAAAAATTTGGATTAAGGTGTCAGGGGTCAGGAGTGCAGCGTGCTTGCACGGCGGGAGGAACCCTGTGCTGGGCGGTGAAGGGACTCAGGCGTGGGCGAGCAAAGCGTCTGCAGGGTCCCCGGGCAGTGCTGCCCCCGGGAAAGAGGCCCCTGAGGAGCCGAGGGGGAAAGAGAGCGGACAAGAAGGGGCCACAGGAGCTGGGGCGGGGGACTGGACGTCTGGATTCTTTTGGCAGAGGGCTGCCGGGAAGCTTTCTGGTCCTGTGCCAGGCTCCAGCGAGCTGCGCTTAGTCCCTCCCTTTCACGAGCACTAAAAATTCATCCTGAAACAAAAACATCCGTGCGTGTGTGTGTGTATGTGTGTGTGTATGTGTGTGTTTAACAATCTGCCTTCTCAGCAGCACCACCGCCACCCCAGCATCGCTAGCCTCATTACTGGCAGCAGGAAATGAGTGAAACACAAATGGCTGGGGAGGAGGCAGGAGGGGCCGGCCCGCTCCCGGCCATGGGGGCTGCTGGGAGCTGCCGCGCCTTGGTGCAGATGTCGCAGCCCTCAAATGTCTGCCGGAAATTACAGCTCATGTCGGGCGGGGAGACGTGCGCTGCCCGGCTGGCGAGCGCAGCGGGAGCCCCCCTGCCCCGGGCCGCCCTCCCCGCGCTGGGGCCGGCAACTTCGGCCCTCGCCAAACCTAGCTCGTAAATCAGCTCGACTGGAGAAAAATGCACGTAGGAAAATTTCTCGGAGCAGGAAGAGAGGGGAAAAAAAAAAAAAAAAAAAAAAAAAAAACCGGGAATCTTCGCCCGGAGAAGACTGGGGGGCGGCCCGGCGGGGAGGCTGCGGCTGCGGCCACTACAGGGCGGCGGGAGGGGCGAGGCGGTGCCCCCAGCCCCGCTCGGGCCAGCAGAGCTGCCGGGAGCGGCCGCCCTCCTGCGCTCCGCAGCCCGGAGCTTTTCCCAAATAAACCCCGCAGCGCAGGCCCTATGTCTTGAGGGCAGCGGGGACCGTCCTGCCTTACACACCCGCGGCACGGGGGAGGCGAGTGTGCCGCGCTTACACCCGCAGCCCTCACTGCGGCGACCGCCGGCAAAAGGCTGGGAATGTGGGAAAGTGATCGGGTGTGCGCAGCGAAACAGGGTACAGGAGGGTGTTACAAGTGCAGCAGAGCTAAGTGCATTCGGGTGCCCTGGGGAATGTCTGCCAGAACGGCAAGAGCAGCACCTCAACTGCCTCGAACAGCAAAGAGCAGGGTGCCTCATGGTGTGATTCCAGCATTACTCACCCCAAGGATCAGGCGCTTCCCCACCCAGTTACATACGACCAGGAAATTACAGGCTGCGCTGCTCCCCGCCTGCCTGAGCGGCTGCCGTATCATACGATACACACCAGAGCAGCGTGTCTGATGAAACGGCACAGCATCGTGTGCTTAGTGAAACGCTAATGGTTTGTGGAAAAGACAGGCTGGGCTGGTCACACTGTCATTTGGTATCCTGAATGCATGCTCCCTCTTGCACATCTTGCCATTAATTAAAATATTGGATAAAAATGAAATCCTGATCTTTCTTGTGCTTGCTGCTCACAGATTTTCTTCTGGTAGACTCCACAGCCAGCCCTGTGTGGCTTAGGTGTTGCAATTCCTCTCTCTTACTTCACCCATCCAATTTGTGGACAAACTAATTATTCTTCACACCCAGTGTTCACAAGATCTTTGTTCCTATAGGCATTGTATCAAGGGCTCCGCATCTCTCATCTTTATTACAAAAGCATTCATATTCCAGATCAGACATGCACCTCTCCTCTCTGCAGTACGAAGCAAATGGAGCTAGAAAGGTCATCTCTACAGCACACTGTCATGTTCCTGGCTTGAATTTATATACTACTTCCTACTTAACTGAGTTTAAGGAACTTGTTACAATGAAAGTCACCTGTGTAAGATGATGCATTCTTTTCCAGTATGCTTCTCCCTGTCTCCTCCACTAATAATGTGAGCTTTTGCTAGCCTTGCCAGTCTCCTCATGCCCTTTCATGCCGTTCTCTAATACCTCTCTGCTCAACCTTTTGCAGCAGCATCTCTACTCAGGTCAGCTTTCTGCCACTATGGTAGTCTGATCTCCTACAATTTTGTGTTCTATTGATTCCAAACACCAGTTACAAGCTCTTTCTTCCATGTGTTTTTAAGAACTGCAGCCTGTGTGAATTTTCTGAAGTCTGAGAAAATATAAAGTCCTCTTGAAACCTACTTCCGAGTTGAGGAAAAGGGTCTTCTCTTGGTTTTTTGTTTTAATGAAATTAAGTATATCTGAACCAGCTTCTCACCCATCCAATTTGCTTTTAGTTGACCAGTGTATCAAAAATCATACATGCATCTGGACAGACCTATGATGTCATATATTCTCCCCCTGCCAAAGATCTTGTGATCATACAAACCTTTCTTTGCAAAACCAGACATAAATTGTGACTGCAAAACCCTGTGCTGCTTCTCATTACACTCCTTCTATATTAATTGTTTTCTTTTCACTATTGGTCTGTGCTTGCCTTTTTATATCTCCTGCTTCTAAGGGCAGAGTCCGGGCTATTTTCTATTCCTGTAGAGTGTTAAGTGTCTTACGGGCATAATGATTTAATTAGTTAATAACTATTAACAATTTGCATTAGTATCATACATCCTGCCATTTCACATCAGACCACTGCTCCAGCCAGTCAAACATGTACCTCTATCTCATGGTGCTCTGAATCAACTGTCCCCCAGTGAAGTGAAGCCCTCATGTGTGGTAGTGGTAGGACACCCAATTCCAGTCTCATTTTGTAGAGTCTGTCCAAGATTTGCTCGTTCTCAATGAATCCCTTGCCCAGCCATCTTGGATCTGAGCTCCTGCATAAAAGGACACTCCAGTTGAACTTGGTAGTGTGTCTGATGGAGAGAGATTACCCAAACTGTTCAGAGGCAAGGATGATGGCTCTGTAATACTCCCAGTGTGGCTATGATCTAGGGTAGACAAAATACAAGGATTAAGTAGGACTTCTCACTGACCCCAGTCCTGTGCCTCCCAGCACTGGGGATTGGAACTTCCTTTCACCTAATTCCTAGTGCCTTTCTGTTTCTTAGAAATGTCTATTTTTTCTTTAAAATACAGTATTTGCTTCCCTAGTATCATGGAGTAGCAAATTCCACAGTTTATCCTATAATGCTTTTCTTCAAGGAGAGATAATATGTTCTTGATAACATCAACTGATTTTTTACATCCTGTATCAATCATACTGAATTATGAGGAAAACTGTGAGTCTCCTGGGAGGGTTTGATGGCTTTATAGTGGAAAGAATCAGGAACGTGAGACTTGGGTGAAGAATTTCAATTAAAAGGAAGCCAGGAAGACTTTTGAGACAGGGTGGACACCTGTATTTTATTCTAAGAAATATTTTTTTGTTTGTATATCTTCTATTTCATATCCTGCACAAAGCCTTTTTCAGCACAGAATCCTACACTGAGACTCAGCAGATGGATGATTCAGCACAAAAAAATAACACATTCAGGAGGGGGGAAATGAGCTATATTGTTCATTTATACACTGTTTGGTCTTTGCAGCGTGACTGTTATCCTGCCTAGGAATGGGAAGACAGTTTCAGGCAATGAAAGCAATATGAGAAAAGAGATGGGACAAGACTTCATTGCCACTTGGGAAGATAGCAAGGATAATTGAAAGTGCTGTTGAACTTGGAAGAGCCAGAAACTGAACTGCTGATTGTATGCAGCTGGAAACCATGATGAAAAGGGCCTTCTACTGGGAGATGACTCTGGTCACTGCTCTTTCCATAGCAGCTGGTCCCTGTAAGACACTGTAAACCCAGCACCACTTACAAAGGTGGCTGAAGATCTAAAAGAAATTCTGGTGCACATGATCTTTATGATATGGTGTCCCAGGAGTCTTGTGAGATTAACAGCTTGTAAATGATGGCATATCTGGAGTAAGTTCACTGTTGGCATTCTTGGGCAATATATAAGAAGAAAATGTGCATCTTAGTGCAGACACACTTAAACCATTATGAAGGAGACCTGTATTTTTGGAAAGACGGGTCCTCCTCCATGTCTGGAGCATGACCTAGTTGGTGACTGAGATATCTGTTGTTTATAGGCAATGATTCCTCAGAAACAAATCAACTAAATGAACAAACTGGGTGATAAAGTAGAACTGAGAACTGCATTGTCCTCCTCAGAGTCATAAAAATTCATCCCTTTTACAACTGCTGAGTGTTTTGCCAATATCATGCCAAGGTGAGAACAGAGGGGGGAAGGGAAGGATATTGAAAAGGAAAATAAATAGGCCAGGTAAACAGTGCTGCTGCTGCAGCAGCTGTAGTTGCCATGGCAACCAGGGTGAAGAAGAGGAGGAGGGGGGAGGCGGATTGATCGATAGTCCTGTGCTGGCTCCTCTGGCTTCCATCCACGTGCTACTACAGAGGAAGAGAAAATCAAAGAGCCACACGCAGGATGGCCAGGTCTCCAGTTCAATACATGGCAGCAGCTTGATCAATACCTTGTTGGAAGGTGGGTAATTGACTCCCCTTCTACCCAGGAGAAAGCGGTCCGGTGACAGAGATGTGTTCGTTAGCTACTGATTCTCAGCTCTACTTTATTAACCAGCTTGTTCATTTAGGTGATTTGTTTGTTTGCTTGCTTGAGATCACTCTTCAGTCTGATTTCTCCCTGTACTTGTCAAAGATGAGCACCAGCTGCTGGAGCTGAGCCAGAACTGCCCCCAAGTTTCTGAGTTGCTTTCCCTCTTTTCTCCTTTATCCTTTCTTTGCTCATACTAGCGGTTTTATCTCACACTGGCAAAGGTTTTGACAGGGAAAGCTGGAAACAGGGACAACCTTTTCTTCTGGGATTTCTTGAGCTTCCTTTCCTGGAGTCTTGGAGGAACATGATTATGGCTCATCTAAACACAAAGGAGCACAGTAGCCCCTAAAATAATTAAATTATTAGGTCTATTTTTGCACCTCACAACTATTATTTTTGTATGTCTGCCCTTCTCCAGAGGAATTACCTGCAGAGGGTGACTAGGTGATGCTATCAGAAAAGACAAAAACTAAAGAGAGGTATCAAAGGAAAGGACAGGAAATCAGGGCATGATAAAAAAAAAAAGGAAGACACAGAAAAATATATATTTATGAGGAAAACACATATTCCTGAAGTACTGAGATAGTGTAGGTTAATTCTCCATTACTACCTAGAGCAGGGCAGGGAGCCTTGGCACATGGTACCATTTGACCTTGCGGCAGGCAATGCTGCATTTTGTAAAAAAGCCTGTATGACACAACTAAGTTCACCCTCATGCTGAATAAATTTCTGCAGGTGTTTTCCAACAAAACACAGCACAATTTGAGTGGAAAAACCAGGACTTAATGTTTTATCCTTTCTGTCAAAGCAAGAAGCTCAAACCTCCCTATCACTTCTTCAGTCACTAGGAACATAAGTGACTTCAACGGGAAAAAAAAAAAAAAAGCCACTTTTTGTGGTGCAACAACCATCAGCAAGCTGACCATAAAATGGTAAATCTAGATTCTGAGATGCTCTGGATGGCAAAGGCCATCTCTTTGCTCTATACTTGTCTATTTTCCAGCTTGCTGGAGTTCTGTACAATGAGCACATAGGCATATAGTAATAATGAGAGCAGTAGTCCATTGCTAGATAACTGATACTGCTTTGTAGAGCAACCAGCCCCTTAGGGTATAGCTAAGAAGAGGCAAACACACAAGAAATATTTCTTCCTTCAGTTCCCTGGATTTTTCTTGGAGCTAACCCATCTAAATGCACTGATGTTCAATTTTATTTAGCTTCTGAATTAAAAATGAAAACTCTCTTGGAATTCTGCTTCCCTTAAGTAAGTTGGCTGCAGTCCAGTTCTCAAGGCTTGTGCTTTTAGATCTTGATCCAACCCCAGAGAAGTAACTGAAAATTGCTCCACTGATTTTAATGAGTCAAACCACTGCATGAGGAGTAAGCTATAATCTCTCAAGGCTTTTTTTTTATTATTTCTTCTATATGCTTTGAAGCACCAGCTGGTGTATCTCACAGACGCTGGATGTAAATCACAGTGGGAAGAGGGGGCTGTATGAGCACAACTGCTCCCTGTTGCATAACCTAGAAGACGCAGGTTAATTCAGGAAATGTTTACAAGGTAGAGGCTACAGCTCTTTTCTTTTCAGTATATCTGCCTCTGGAAATATTTACAAACCACACAAAGATGCCTCTGTGCCCTGCAGAATATTTTCCTTTGGTTCCTTTGTGAGTGGGAAAATAAGAGCATCCTAACCTCTGGGCATAATTTATGGCAGAAATAAA